AATTATCCATTTCTATAATTTTTCATTTCTTCATTTCTTCAATTCCCACTTCTTCGTTTCATCACTTCGTCAATTCATTATTTCTTGAATTTCTCATTTCTTCAATTTCCTATTAGTATAGTTCTCCATAAAATTAATTTTCTATTAAAACAGTTATCCACAATTATTAACAATGTTTCCATTGCAATAATTGTGGATAATTATTGTAATAGAAAATTAATTTAATCGATACATTCGCCAGCCAGGAGATGTGCCAATTTTATTAGCGATTAGAATAATGCTGAATATAGCAGAATAATACATGATAATACACGAATATACAGAATAATAGGTAAAAATACAGTGCAATCAATAATAATGCAGAATAATTCAGAATAACAAAGAATAATACAAAATAATAAAGAACAATAAATGAATATACATATAGATTGACGAATTTCGATGTACGTAATTCTGAGTTGTCAGATACTTTCATCTTCACATATCTTCTGCATTCTACGTAAATATCAAATTTCCATTAATGCAATTTCGCTGAATTCCTTCATCTCTAATTCATTTCTACAACATATTTTTCAACAAATCGTTTTCTACCTCATCATTTAGATAATTTCGTTTTCGTGGACTAACCGTCCGTATTTGCCGCCCTTCAAGATAATACTTTTATTGCTGGTTCACTGATAACACACGACTCGCTTGAATAATAAATTAATTCTAGAATGTGTCGCCGATGCAAGTAGAAAACCGGTAATAAAAAGAGATATGCGGAACGCTGTTTTCAAGGCTGTTCGCGTGCGTTTCGCAGTTTCCAAGATAACGTGCGCTGTTTTGGTGAAAAAAAAAGTATAGAGCAAAAGTTTATGGTAATGGGATATAGGGTGTACAGATTTTTTTAATTAAGTGTTTTGTAAGGAACTAACGAAGATATCGATTTCATTCTTGGCACGATCAAATGAATCAAATTCGATTTCATTCAGCCAGTTTCAAGTTCTCAATGTTTTTAAAAATTTCGCCGTAAAGAAAAAGAATAGAGCTATATCGTCACTTTTTTTCAAATTTTTAAAAGTGTTCCTCGTATAAATCAAGGTATATGTTTAAAACAATTTGAAATGAAATGAAGAAATGGAGAATTGTAGAAATAGAAAATTACAGAAATAGGGAGTTGAAAAAATGAGAAATTCATCATGTCATCATTCATCATTCATCAAATTTATCATATGTTCAAAATAATATTCACGAATTTCCAAGTACTTATTAAGTACTCATAAATACTTCAATAAATAATACGAAAACAGTAACCTACATACAAACATCAGATATTCTTGATTTCACATTTTCCTTAACAACAAGAGCAATTGCCTTACTCTTACATCCCTCAAAAATAGTTTAAAACATTTATCAGCTTCTATTCGTAGAATCAATTTTAAATTCTAAACAGGATAAAAAAATAATAAAACGATTCAATCAAATATTATTCGATTTTATAAAAACTATATATTAATATCACCTACCAATTAAAAAAAAATTAAAACATCCTTCAATTTCCCCGCAACAGTCACTCTGAACAAAATTTCTTGCACGTATTAACCCTCCTAATCATTTCGTAAGAGACACCCTATATGCAGTAATTGGCGGCGAAAAGGTATCAATTACATTGCAATTAATCGACAGCGAGTTAACGATACGAGTGTATCGATGTAACGAGCATTAATAATAATCGTGCCGTGTTATCGGTTGTTTACTGTCATTCGCGTAATTGCGTTGCATGTTTATCTAACAGTTACGCAATATCGTAACATCCGTTCCACATACAGCCGACGTCTTTGGAATTTGAGCTAATGTCAGTAGGAACCCATGCACTCTCCTACCGGTTTTCTTCTAAGTAAGAGATGTAATCTTGTTTATTCGTAAGCAATGCACGGTGAAACAGATAGAGAAGAGTTACCGAATGCGTGTATCGCTCGAGACAGTTTATGTTATGTTTCCTGATCCACGCTAATTTTGTGTCAATTGAATGCTGTATATTATTATTTAATGTTCGAAGATAACATTTGGAATGGTCAATCTTATCTTATGGAGAGGGCAATGTGTTTTAAGCGTTTTTGTAATTACATTTTGGATCAGTTCTTTGGATAGCAATGTTTGGAGGTCTGTTTTGAATGTCTTAATGAATGTTTATATATAAGAGTCTTGAGATAATAGGGCAATTAATTGAATTGCAAATAAGTTTCGCCTACCTCCCTCTCTAAGTAGCATGGGACTGTTGGCATGACGTTTAGAGGCATGTTTGAAACGTATCAATGAAATTTTAGATTTTAGAGATATGAAATAGCAGCTTTAATAATTGAAATCCAATATAGTTTCACATACCTCCTCCTCTAAGTGCCATGAGCTGTGTATTAGAAGATCGTGTTTTAAATCTCGTGAGACACTTTTGTACCTTTGAAACTTGTGATAGCAGCTTTATTATTATTAAATATTATAAAATTTATTATTATATTATATTGAATAGTCAAATTTGTTACTACTTCTTTCAAGCGATATGAACTGTTAAAGAGACGCTCAGAGGTCGTGTCTTAAAGGTATCAATTAAATGTTGCACCCTTAGAGAGTTTAAATAGCAACTATATTAATTAAACTGCAACCAAGTTTCATGTACCTCCCTCTCTAAGTGTCATCGACTGTTGTTAGCATAAGGTTCAGGATTCATGTATTAAACCTAACAATGAAATGTCGCACCTTAGAGAGTTAAAATAGCATCTCTTAAATTAAACTGTAATCAAGTTTCATCTACCTCCCTCTCTAAGTGACATGTACTGTTTTGAGATAAAGTTTAGGATTTGTCTTTTAAACCTACCAGTAAAATGTTGCACCATAGAAAATGAAAATAGAAACTGTCTTAATTAAACTGCAATCAAGTTTCATCTACCTCCCTCTCTAAGTGACATGGATGATTTTTAACATCAGTCAAAAATCACGTGAAAATGTTGTTTCCAAAAATTTTTTTCTGCCATTTCTAAATATGGGGAAATTATCAAATGAACACTAATAGATCCAGAAAATGGTAAATTTTAATAAAAAAGAGATAACGAAAATCGATTTCTTTTTCCGAAGAATGTGTAGTGGCCCTCTTAAGAAAAGAATGGACTATTGCACCTTAGAGATATGGGACAACAGCCCTATTAATTAAACAAGTTTCGCCTAC